CGACAAGATCTTCAAGCTCCTTTATGCGCTCAGACTTTGCAGCGTCGAATGTGTCGGGCTGCATTTCACGCTCTTCGTCGTCAAAAGCCTTGACTTGGGCGCGCAAGAAGTCGACTTCCTTGGTTGCGAGAGCCTTCTGTCGTTCGAGACGCGCTCGCACCTTTGCGTCGGCACTGTTCGTCGCGGCGGTGTTTCCGGCGGCCTTGAGTTGCTGAATTTCCGCTTGTAGTTTGGCCTTCTCCTCTTCGAGTGCTTGTATGGTAGCGTCCTTGACAGTGAGTTCAGGCTTGATCTCACCCAACCTGTTGAGAAGATCAGTTCGCTCTATGCGCTCTTGGATGAAGGCTCGCGCGAGGTCTTGGGGGGTTTCGAAGAGTACTTCGCCGTGTATCTCTGCCTCGGCCTCAAGGTACGACGTCCAGGAGTCGCGCTCTTCTTCCAAGACCTGCTTCCTCAGCTCTGCCTCTCCCAACTGCCGTTCTAAGTCGTCCATCATGCGCAGCTTTGTCTGCAGGGACCTCTTCTCCTCCTCGACAACCTCAATCGCCTTGTGTTGTTTCCGGTACTGCTTGAGCTCGGTATTTTGCTCTCTCGTCAGGGTCTCCAGCTTCTTGATGTGTGCGACTTGATCGGAGAGTTCCCTCTTGATGACTGCCAGTGTTTCCGCATCTCCAGTGATTGCCTTCAGGCGCAAGACCTCAGCCTCCATTTGACCGACTTCCTCCTCCTTCTGCGCAAGCTTCTTCTGCGACGTTTGTAGAGCGTTGACCTTGGCTTGTAGATCTGCGTGCATCTCCTCCACACTCTCCTTCAGTGCCTTGTGCTCTGTTTGTAGGGTGTTATATCTGTGCTCATTCTGCCGTTGCGACGTTGACAACTCCTCCTTGACCTCGTCGTATTCCTCTTGTAGCGATTGCGCCCTCTCTTGACTCTCCCGCAATCGCCGTTCCAGCGCTTGCCGCTCGTTCGCAGCCTTCGTCTGCGCCTCCGACATCTCCTTGGTCAGCGCATCGTACTTCTTCGCGGTCATGCTGTTCGACGCCTCGACCTGCTGGGCTTTGCGAAAGTCGGCATCGGCGCGGTTCTGGGCGTCGCGGAGTTCTTGCGCATGCTCCAGCTTCATCATCTCCTTTTCTTGTTTCGCGGTTTCGAGCTCATATCGCACCGTGTTGAGTTGGGCGCGGAGATCTTCATTGATCGGATCCGAAGGCACGACTGTGTGCGGCGCATTCTGGGAGGCTCGTAATGTGGTTCGAAAGGTTTCGCGCAAAGGTTCTCGTTTGGCAGTCGCAGGCGCGGGCGCTGGCTCCTCCTCCTCGCCGGTGAGGAAGTTGAAGGAGGGCTGGGTCGTGTTGCGCACCGCCATGGCAGGAGCGACTCCGTGTTGGTTTGTTTGTTATGTCGGGACGGGTAAGGAGCGTGTATAATCGTGGTTCAGATGTGGAGGCGACGATTATGCCATTGCGCGTTGGCGAGAAATGCGCTTTCCTCACGACACGGCGTAGATTTTGGGTGAGTGCTTGGTGGTTCGTCGTTCTTGTTGTCGCAAAGCACCGTGTCTGGGGTTCACGGCGCCGTTCGGGCAAGGCCGCCTCAGGCCTAGCGCGTGAGCCCTGGAAGTGCGTCTGGCGCGCAAGCACGTGGCTTTCAGTCTACACAAGTCACGTCATAACTCAAGCACGCTGCAAGAAGAATCAAGTCTTTGTTCTAGTTTCAAGGCCATTAATAATAAAATTGCGGCTGCATGGTGAGTTGCAGGGTCAACTACTTCCTACTCCTGTACATCCGCCCACGCTTTCAAAAAGACATCGCCTTCGCCATCCCTCCAACCCCACGCGACACAGTAATGCCGGAGCAGCATTTCCAGCTCCTCCAGTTCGTCTAGAAATTCTAACCCAGCGATGCGCTCCTTCTCCTCGTCGTCGATCCACTTTCGCCAAATAGTACTTGTGTCCGCGACCTTTGCCCCGTTTGTCAAGCCATAGCCCTGAAGGCGTGCACGTTGGTCGCCCAACTCAGGATACGCTATCAATGTATGAAGGTGAATGTTGCGGGACTGGAGGTTCGAGATCATCGTGCGACCAAAGGCATCTTGGGGTAGGATGGGCTCGTAGAGAACGAGAGACGCAGGCGTCGCAGGTTGTAGGTAGTGTGTCAGGAGTGATGAGACTATTGATTTCACTGTCGAGGGCTGCAGGTAGACCAGGCACATCTCAGACAGGATCAACGTAGGTATGCTCGGATCCAGGTTCGGAATCTGAGGTAGGGGCTTCGCGTCCGACGGGTCGGCCAGAGTACGTAGGTCGAGCGCATGGATGTTGTACGTGTCTGAGTGGTAGGAGGCTGAAGTCGACGGTATGTGCAGTAGCTTTCGGTAAAGCAGCGGCTGCCTCTGTATGGTCGCTATCTTGGCGAGCGTATTCGAAGGGAAGTCGATTTCGTGATATACGAGGCGCGTCTGAGGGTATAGGTCGAGGAGGCGGAAGAATCGCGTGTCGGTGCCGGCACCCAGAGAGATGATCTGCTTCGCCGACGCCGGGTAGGTGACGAGGAACTTGGCGACGAGAAGGTCGATGGCCGAGGTGCGGACATAAGTGCCTCTGTTGAGCAACGGCAGCTTCCTCGTCGTCTGTTGTGTCGCGAACAGCTTCGCGTATGGGTCGTGAAGATAACCTAGCTCTACACAGCTCACCCTGCTCCCCGCCGCATCTTGATCGGTCCCCTTGACGGCATCGTCGAGAACTTGGGCCCTTGTTTCACTGGAGCCTCCAAGACCACCTCTTCCTCGTCCTCTGCCTCTTGATGCTCCGCCGCGGCCTTGTCCGAGAAGAGTTCTTAGGTTGGGGATTTCGCTTGAGGAGGCCATGTCCAAGTTCGAGATGGGCGGAAGTGGTGGGGTTCCAAGCTCCAGGTCCGCGCGCTAGGGCTGCACGCCAAGCCTCTCGCCCGGCCTGCCTTTGGCACTTCTGGAGATTTCTTTGACGCGCCCGTCTTCACTCACCTGTTGCGCCGACACCACCGCCCGACACTCGTTCCCCCGCATCAACGTCACCGACCGCAAGCATGGAAGGCGAAAAGTACAGCGCGTCTCTGATTCGCCTGTGGAGGGTCTGGCGGACAACCAAGGAAATGATGAACGACCGGGTGCGTCGCGCATGCGCTTGAAGGAACCACGGACTGCGCGCTGACTCTACCAAAGGGCTACATGATTGTCGAAGATGACATGACCATGTCACTCGAGGAGTTCTCAAGGAAATATGCGCGCGAAGACGGAGAGCCTGAGTATGCGCCAACCACAGCCATGTCCAGGCCGCAGTACTGACTCTAACCAGCCGTTCGCGCCTCAACTTCTCCTGCCAGCCCTCCGAAGACATGCTCCGAAGGTATACCGATGCCCCGACCAAGAAGAACCCAGAGCCCCAACCCAACATCGGCACCATCTGGATCGAGTTCAACGCCGACGAGAACGTTGGAATGAAGCAACTGCGCGACTACATGTCCCATCTTGTCAACGGCTCCTTCCACTCCGGCATCATGGTCACCGTAAAGCCCATGACGGGTATGGCCCTTCGACTCCTCCGCGGCGCAACAAGCATCACCGACGGCCCCAAGGGCGGTGTAGAGGTCTTCGTTGAGCAAGATCTGCTGGTCAACATCACAAAGCACGAGTTGGTACCCAAGCACGTCCTGCTGAGTGACGAGGAGAAGCAGCAGCTACTCCAGCGATACCGTTTGAAGCAGACACAGCTCCCCAGAATCCAGTCCACGGACCCAGTCGCCAAGTACCTGGGCCTGAGGAGAGGTTCCGTCGTCAAGATTATCCGAAAGTCAGAAACAGCCGGTCGATACGCCAGTTACCGATGGGTCATATAAGCGTTCAGGCAGAAGGGTAGATTGCGAGAGAAACGTTCGAGTACAGCGTGCCATTCAAGCGAAAGCGCGCATGCGTAATACCTCCAGCCGCGTCAAGGCCTTCAGAGTGGAGTAGGCACCAAGACCGGTGTAGCATTGGGCGAGGCGTTTGGCGATGGAAAAGGGTCTGGTTTTTAACACCATTTTTGTACTATCTGAGAAGCAGGAAGGAAAGCCAGGGACGAACGAATCAAAGTCTCAAGTCTTCATTTTCCATAAAGTGCCATGCTCTGGTGCAGAACCCTTTGTCCATCCCTCACACCAATGAGACAGGGTCAACTACGCCACAGCCATCCGCGTCACCATTTGACTTGTTTCCATACCACGCCGCATCCACACATACCGATACCCTTAGTCCCCCTCCTACCCGCTCCTATTCCCAGCCCAACCTTCCCATCCAAGTAACTCTTTCTGAAAACCATCGAAGTCTGTGTCCCAGCATTACCCTCATCGGTGAACTAGCCCCATGGACTATGAAAAGACGCATCATCCTATTCCGGTAGCTGCTAGTTGCAGACACGGGTAGCGCGGCCGCTTGGGTAGCTTTTGTACCGTTCAAGTCACCGTTCAGAGGGGACGAGTGGAGAGCTGACTTGGCTTGGCCGGGATACGGGAGCCTATGTGTACGGAGTTTGTTTACCGGTGAGCGTGGGGTTTGGTGGTGATGGTGGTTCTGCTTACGATCAGCAGGGCGGGCTGAGGCTGATGGGCTGATGTTACCAGGTTAGACGAATACCGCTAACCTTGCATGCCGCTCGCCGGATTGGGAACATGGTAGTTTTGCGGTGGTGGTAGCGCTGATCGTTATTACATCACCATTGCTGCTTAAATGTAGGTACAGTAAATGTGATAAAATCACGAGGTTCGATCCACGATCCCCGCGACTTCAGATGATATGCATTGAGCGCTGGAAATGCGTCTTGGGGGTATCATGCCAACTACACTGTACGCCCTGCTGATGCGAAAAACTCTATGCGTACATGGTACAAACACTGTGGTGGGGTATAATAGGGAAGCCGTCTGTAAAGAAGACACGAAATGAAGTTGAAACATCGCCGCAAACAATCTTCTCTTGTATACATGCCTCCTCAAGGCTCGTCGTCCTCCTGCTCGAACGTCTCGGAAAAGTTGATCAGGGAAGTGAATTGCTCCGTCGTCTCCTTAATCTCCATTGTTCTTCGCTTGGCCTCATCTGCTAGCCAGCTAAGCGGCACCAGTATCATCTCGCCCTTGCTGTTCTTGAGAAGCTTCGTCCTTTCTTTCTTTGCAGACGATGGCTTTGGTAACTCGACCGCCGCCTCCATGGTAGTGATCGCGTCGCTGCGTCTGTGCCTGTGTTCGAGGATATCTACGTCGATCGTACGCTTTGCGATGACATGATAGATGTGAACCTTCTTCTGCTGGCCATAACGACGACTTCGAGCGATAGCTTGTGCCATGGCCGAGTCGTAGTCATACTGCGTCTTTGCCAAGAAGGGCGAAACAAATATGACGTGGTTGGCCACTGTGAGATTGCTGTAGAGGGTCAGTACGAGGCATCTGTGTACATATGCAAGAGGGACTTACACGCCAGCTGCAGACTCGCTTCCCAGATTGAGTATGATGAGCTTTTTCCTCTTTTTAGGATTTGTGTTCGTCTTGAAGTCCTCCATAAGCTTCGCTGCCGACGCCTTATGTCGACTTCCGCCCAACGAGTGGTAAGAGACATTACAGTGGTCGAACACGGTCTCGAGAATGCTGATGATCTCCTCGTTTGGCGCGAAAACGATGCATTGATCAGATTGTGGAAGCCCTTGAACAAGTTGGGCAATCGCCTCAAGCTTGTTGCCAAAGCTCTGACCAGTATGTTGGTCGTTGCTTATACCAAGATCAGCCATCCGGATCAGGTTGCCTTCGCTTGCGTAGGAATTGCAGCCAGTATGTACGCAAGTCTCGTCGTCGGTTCGTAACGCAAGACACCCCTTACATGCAGTATGTCCGCAGTGTGGTATCGAGAAGAGTTGTTGAGGGCTAGTCACACCCTTGCAGACAGACGAGCTACAGTGGGTAGTGTTCTTGTCGAAGGTTGTAAACTCAAGATGATCGCGAATAGATACGATAAAACGCTTTGACCTTGTCCTATGGGCGAGTTCGAGGGCAGTATCTCGGAGCTGTGATAGTTCCTGTTTGATCAATCGCTCGCGCTGGACTTTAGACATGTCTGCGACATCAGCAAGCCCTGATTTGGGTGTCTTCTGGGCTTCTTTGATCAAAGCACGAACAACCTGACTGGAGTCATCATCTCCGAGCCAATTGTACATCAAAATATCCTTCTTGAAATGACCATAAAGATCTTGAATGGTCGACTCAGTGCTCTTAGATTTCTTCATCAAGCCCTCGAATTTTGACAGCAGTTTCAGCAACTCCTTCTTCGTGCTGCGTAACTGCTGCGACCTTTTCTCGATTAGGAGCTCGAGCGCAGATTTGCCTTCCTCGGTCTCGAAGAGTAATGCACACCTCAACAGCGCTTCTTCGGCACTCGCGGAGTTCTCCAAGCTGTCGTTTAGTCTGGTACTCCTGTCTGAGCCCGACTTCTTGTTGAGCTTCTTGATCTGCATTCTCTGAGAGATGAGGTATTGGGAGAGCTCTAGGTAGACAGCATGATGAGCAGCATCAAGATCCACCGATATGAGCTTTTCTGAGCAGTTAATGTGCTGCAGCTCGGCTTCATTCTGTCTCACAAAGTCATCGAGAAACTCCTGTGCCCGTTGATGTCTCGCCACATGCCATTGCCTTGACATCACTTCCGTTTGCGACAAAAAGCTTTCAACGTCGGTCTGATCAAGCTTTGACATCTTCTCCGCGGATGTCGTAACCGAGCCGTCGCCGCAGAAATAGCGACCAAGTTTGACTCCTAAGAAAGATGCCAGCTGGTTGACATCAGAGAAGTTGGCTAAGGCTGGCGTGCCTGATAGGACCCAGCGTTTGTGAGCAGAGACTTGCTTGATACTCGTCGCAATGAAGTTGCTCCAGATCTTGTTGGTATCATTGAGATAATGGTACTCATCGACGATGATTCGGTTGAAGCGAAAGAGATGAAGCAATGGTGTGAGGTGTGAGGAGTTGTCTTGTCTTGTTTTGGTGAAACTTTTCGCCTTTGCGTTTTTCGAGGAACCTGGCTTCGTCCTCATGGTGCTGAACGACTGGTACGCGCTACCATGCTGAATGCTGATAGGCAAGGTCGCTTGAAATTCGCGATGCTGAAGCCGTTCATTCATTAGCTCGTTCGTCAACCGTTGGAACTCCTTGTATGGATGATGCTGGTACACCTCCAACTGACTTGGTATCTCACCAACAGCTCTCTTCATCCAGCAATCGAAAGCACGCCGACTGGTCATGATGGGCTCAGGCAGTGCGGCGAACTTTGCTAACTCTGAGACGTAAGCTTCGTCAGCAAACAACGTCCACGACACTACGATGACTTTGCTTCGGCGAATGTCGTCGATAGTGAGGCTCCTCAATTGATTGCAGCTTTCTATGACGAGAACGTCGTACTCTTCATACTTCTTTGAGCCTAGAAACTTCTCCAACTCTGTATTCCACTGCTCCGTGATGTGCGGTGGGCAGACAACAAGTGTAGCTGCTGAATCCAAGAAATGAGCTTGTTCACACGTCAAATCTTGATTGCGCTCCAGAAGCTTTTCCGGCGGGATTTGATCGAATTCACTTTGGATGAGCCCAATGCTGGCGACGGTCTTGCCGAATGACGGTTGATCTGCGAGCACACCACCGCGGACAATCTGTTCCATTTCGACCCGAGCCTCTGCTCTCCAGCCTAGACCGGGGTGAATCGACTCTTCAGTTTCACAGATAGCAATTGCTCTGCCTAGCTCTTGACTTAACATCCATGAGACAGTTTTCAACTGGGCACCTCGCAAGTATTTTGGCAGTATAGTCGCCGATGACTGACTATTGCTCACGTTGCTTTGTAAGTGAAACTTTGGGAAGGGCTGAGGGGGTAAGTCGGCATGATCGGTAACCAGCCTCCAGGCTGTGGTCGCAGATATAGCCTTTGGAAGTCTCCCTTTAGCACGATGCACCAAAGACATGACATCGACGCCAACCTGAACACGTGTCCCCGTCGCGTCACTAGATGCTTCTAGCTGGAATATCGCAGGGCGCTGCTTGATGACGCGCTCGAATGTGGCAGCGGCTTGGCGATCTTCGTGTGCCGTCGCTACGCCTTTCTCGTCTACACTCCATAGAATCTCCGGATAAGATGGCGCGCAAAAGCAATGTTCGAGCGACTCCGATTGTAGAGGCTGCCATGATGAGCATGCAGGCAGTGTCTTAGCGCGTTCTAAGGCCCATGAGTAGTCTGCAAAATCCTGGACGGAAAACTGGTCGTGGAGGAAGACGTCGAGGCAAGTGAGCGCCTGGGAGCAGCTTGGCAAGCCTGTCTCAAGCAGACGTTCTTCCTCGAGGAAACCAACGTCCAATGGAACACCTGCTGATTCCATTGGCATCGAGACAGAAGTCCAAACGTCTTGAATCGTGGTAGTAATAGCGTGCACACAGCCGTCCTTTACATGCCAGGGTCGCCAGGCAGGATTCACATGAGCAAGCGTGATACGGCTGTCTCCATAATGCTTCCGCGTATTATCTTGGCTGAAAACGAAGCTGTCATGATCTGATCGACCAATGGGATTGGGATCAAGGAACAAGTACATGCTGTCTGGTTCCGTCGACCTTTTGTAGAGGCTGGTCGACGCAGTTCCACAATGCGGCTGATACTCGTAATCGCCGATGATGGCCGCCAACTCTTGATCATCGCCTAGGATCTTGATGGTCCCTGGTACGGTCTCTTCTTTGAAGTCCACAAGACCAAGTCGACTCCGCCACGAGCTGACCTTCTCAACTGAGCCGCTGACATTGAGTATATGGTTGCTGATAGACGGCATGCGTATTTTCCACTCAACGTCGAAAAGATTGTCTGCGACATTGCTTTGTGCGATCGGATTGCGGAGAAATTCTCGCAAGCGACTGTTGCCAGGAATACTTGGTGGGCATTTAACGAAAAGTGACCATTGAATGTCAAAGCCAACTTTCAGCTCAATTGTGGCCCGGTGCGAGCTATAGGTGATCTTCCACTCGTTGTACTCCCTGGAAAACTCGTCGATGCAGAAATACTGGGAAACCAAATGCGCTTCCGACACTGTAGTAAGATATTGGCTTAAAATCGTGTCTTCTGCGCCTAATTCGGAAGCGAGATGATGTATGTTCGGGAAAGCCTTGAGCTTCAGTCGTGGAGGCAACTTAGGCCTCCAACGCCTGATGAATTCGTCGGGTTGCAGCTTTCGCTGTCGGGTCGATATGATTGCTTCGTAAACGTGCCTGGGGTTGCCCGCACATGATGTACAAGCCGTGTGTTCACACGCTGAGCATAAGTGAATTTCGTTCTTGCTGATGAGCTGCCTGCCTTCGCAGTTGCACATACGCGCGCTCAGCTTCGCTTCCTGCTGAAGCTCCACCAAATCGAGATCCGCGTAACTATTTGGTTCTAGGATAGTTTGCCCTAGGATCCCAGGATGAGTTACCATCATGCTGGTGGGGGGTACATATGATGCCTTGTCAGATGTGACATTGTATCCGGAACGGAAAGCTTGTGAGCCGGCAATGAGAGCAGAAATGAGAGACGCCCCGATCACTGTAGTTGACATGGCGTTGCCAGCGAGGTTTTGCAGGTCCTTTTGTGTTTCGTTCGCGAACAGTAGTCGATCGAGCGGCATGCCTTGAAGGATCAAAAGCTGACTACCATTCAAAGTGTGCTGGCGGTTGCTGGCGAAGTCTTGCCCACCTGGAGTCAGGCATGGTGCAATGCCCAAATCTGCCTTGAATCGATCGACGTTCTGACTGACATCCCATAGCGCCATCTTGTAAAGTGAGTCGCAGCCCTTGAGAGCAGCAAACTCTAGGTGAGCAATGTCGATGGCATCATGTACTCTCGAAGATTGAGAATTATAGAACTTTCTGTCAGCGAAATCGGGAGGCCTGCATCTTCGTTAGCCCGGATATCAAAGACATAGCAGGATTGTGGGAGCTTACATGACCGTGCCGTTGTCGCTCCGCCGGCTCACAGGACTGAGTATCCCGAGTTTCTTCTCAGAGCGAATGTGGTCATTCCGGAGCTTGCACAAAGCCCAGTCCGGCTCGTTCTTCAGAATGCTGTAACCACTTGACTCTTTCAGCGATTCAAGGAGAAACGCCTCGTAAGGGCTACTGCACTGTCTTTCCAAGTTTTGCATCAACTCCTTCCACTGGTATGTCGCTCTCTTCACATCTTTTCCGAAATGATTACGCTCCACAGCGATCATGTACATTCTCTCTCGGGTTTGCGGCAGATAGTAGTTTTTCGTGTCGCAATAGATCCATTGAGCTTCGTAACCGATCTTGGACCATCTATGTACCACGTCATCCCAAGTCTTCTTCTCATTCTTGACATTCTCTAGCAGTACTAGGCTGGGGCAAAAGCGCTCCGCGTAGGTGTAGATTGCTCGCCATGTGTCGCCCGATTCGCCACCGTCGTCGAGAGTTTTGCCTTTGTTGTTCATCCTGGAGAGATCTTTGCAGACGAAACCGGCGATGAGGACATCTATGCGCGTGGGAATGTCCACCTCTGCTCCGTACGCTGTCATGGCGGTGGTGGCCTCCTTGCGAAGGAAGTCACGGACGTCTCGGAACAGCTTCTTTGGGGCAAAGTTTCTCTCGATGTATCCTTGCTTGAAGACCTCGATTTCGGCAGAAAACTCTTGCTGAATGCACATCGGAGGTTTTCCCATCTTTTCCAGTGCTAGAAATAATGTTAGCTTGCATCCCCCTCTAGGTGATGATGCGACTGACCTTTCGAGATCTCATCCAGGGCCAGCAACGGAGACTCGGTACCAGAACACATGGTCGCTACTCTGATAGGCCTTTCTCCTAGGCTTTGAAGAGCTTCACAAAGGCCGAGGTTTACTGCTTTGGCAGTCATATCAAACATGCAGTCATGAATGTTCGAGAGCGGGGGAAGGCTCAGATCGATGCCTTTGCCAGCTCGACTTGGTTCTCCAGTCTTATTGTTCCGGCGTGGGTTTGGCTTGGGCTGATCGTCTTCAACAGGGATGACGTCCTCATCTATGGAGATGTCTAACGATTCAGCGTCACTGGCGCTCGATGCTTCCTCATCGGAAGATGCAGGCTCAATCTCCGCTTCGCTTTCTTCTTCTTCGTCCGTTGTAGGAGAATTGTAGACGTCTGATACGTCCTCGTCCTCGTCTTCGGCTTCGGCTGCGAGCCCCAGGTCTTGGTCCGACAAATCGTCAGGCATGGGTTCAACATAAGATACCCTAGGCCGAGCCCTGCTGGAGCGTCCACTGCGACCAATGTTCAATGCGTTGACCTCTCTTCCTTGATCCGAGTCGTTGTCCATCATCGGAACGTCCTCATCACCAGCGGCTGTCGCTGATTTGGGATCGTCTTCTAATGCGAGGTCGTTCGAAGTCACAGGCGAGGGTAGCGCATCGTCGCCACCATGTAGCTCTTCGTTCTCGTCGGCAGGGTTTTCTGGGGTCTTCGAAGCTTTGCGCAAGCTCGACCTAGACGGGCTTGACTTTGGGCTAGCCACCTGTGTGTACTCATCGGGTGTACTGTTGGATAAGATCTTCCTGCGCTTCGATCTAGATGTGCCGTTACGCGTTGTGTTGTGATCAACTGCATCACTCACATCCCCCGTGGTAGCCTGTACTTCATTGCTGGTCTGACGTACCTCGCTACGTCGAGTTCTTCGGCTTCTGCTGGACTGTTCTGGTGCCACACCTTCAGACTGTGGGATATTCTCGCTTCTTGTGGCTAGCTCCTCAGGCTTTGGCTTCTTCTTCTCGGGTAGCTTGCGACATAGATGTGTTGTTTTGTTGCGTATGCAAGTATCGCAAGGAATACTTCCGTCGCATTGTTTGAACCCTCGTATAGTGCATCGTGGACAACGTGCCGCTATCGCTGCCGATTCTTCTGGCGTAGGCAGTCGACATTTCTTCTTCTTGTCCCGTATACAGCGCGTACACAGGTCTGCTCCGTCTTCTATGTGGCATTCATACGCCGCGTTGCCTCCGCGAGTCAAGCAGAAGTAGCAGCAATCTGGAGGTATGACCTGGTCGGCATCGTCGGTCGCTTGAGGTGGTGTCGCGGTATCAGTAGGGATAGAGGGTAGATCGACTGCAATTGGTCAGCTTTTGAAGCAAAGGCAATGATGATAACAAGGTGAACGGCATACCATGGACATGCTGGGCTGTGTGCGCGCGGCGAGCGCGATTACCGCGTGTCTGTGTCTCGGCCAAAGGAGTGCGCTCAGCATTCCCTTTGCTGGCGGTGTGTGGCCGTGGTGCAACATGAATAATATCATCGTCGTACTCAAACACGCTGTGTGCAGGTGACACTTGGGCGACGCGCTTCCGCTTACGCGAATTGTTTTGTCCCATGGTGAGAGTATCTCGATGCAAGACACAGAATTGAGTATCGGCACAGCCGTTAATCTAGGGATAGAAGAATGAAGTGGCGCGGTTCGCTCATGGCATGCGATTCGCGCGTTGAGGGCAATAAAGTCAATGGAGTTCATGCGGCATGCAAGCACGTAGCGCGACGACGCGTCGCGCTAGTGGAGCGAAAGCACGTGGGGCATCCTGTCAGGGCACGTACCCCGCATGCCGTCTCTCGCCGCTGGACTGCATGACCTGGGAAAGACACGATGAGAGATAAAATGTGCTGAGTAGGCCATGATGTGAATTGAGGGCGAGAGGGCTTGTGTGTGTCCCTTTGAGGCATGCACAGCCGAAGCGGATAGGCTACTCTGAGAGGGAAGGTGCCATCCTACGTAGCGAAGTCGGACAGCATTCAGCTCAATGTATACCTACGTACCCACCCTCGCGGCTTGGTACTCGTATTACCTTCACCGCAATACTGAAAGAAATCATACAGCGTCCTTGCATTATCCTGTATTCACCACGATTCGCAGCACACATCATGGCTAATCAGGCAGTCAATACATTTGAGGACCTCACTGGTGTCTCGACTTCCTCCTTCAGCAACCCCTATGATGCATTGATATCGGCATGTGAGGATGATCCGGTAAGATTATTCAATATATGATCTTTGCATGTACTTAGCAAACAACGCAGGTACGAATCCAGGAAAAGTACCAGTTGCATCGGACCACGAGGAATGCCCAGCAAAAGGGGAAGATGCTCGACAAGAGCTTCCAGGGCGTAAATATAGACCCCATCCTCCTGAGACTGGAGGACCCTACCGTCGAGCCCGGATTCAAAGATCCCCGCAACTGTTTCGTAAGAATGCTGATGTACGACTTGCACGAATACGTGTACTTATCATGCGCAGGTATTCTGGGGCCGTCCTACAGAGCAAGTCAAGGATATGATCGCCCGAGTGCAGCAGGAACTGCGAACAGTAGCACCAAGTAGGCACAATGTCATGGTTACCGTATTGTGTTTCTAATGAAAGTAGATCTATGGCTCATGCCCCGGGATAACCAACACATTACAGTACTGGAAGTAACGCACTCGAAGACGGCACCAGAGATCCAGCAACTTATCGATAGTGTGCGAGACAAGATACCTGCCATGACCGACTATACCCACGAGCATCGCACGCGCCTCATCAAGCCCTTGATTGGGTACGATGCTTCAGCAATAGCGTTGAGCTTTGTACCTGCAGCTGGCGAGGGACTGCACTCTGGCCGTACGCCTGAAGACGACAAGTTCACTTACCACCATCTTCGCCGAGATATGTTCTCCATGTGTCGCGATGCAGGTCTTCAAGTGGAATCGCGATACGTCGTGCCGTCAAGCCATCTCACCATCGGCCGCTTCATATATACCAAAGATCAGGAAGACGGAAACGGCTCGCTAGATCCTGAGAAGACGAAGGCTTTGATCGAAAAGATCGAAGAGATCAACGCGTGGCTGCAGAAAGACTACTGGCCGGAACATAATGAAGGCAAGATACCTGCTGGTGGAGAGTTCAACGTGGGCCAGGAAAAGGGTTTGCATTGTGGGACGGGTCCCCTTTGGTATGGCGGGGGCGATGCAGTGCATCTTGGGAAGGGCTACTGAGCAGCGTGAGGTTCTTCAACATGTTGGTATGTGGGTCCACAGGTTGGGGGTAGGTGTACAGCTCTCCGTGGGGGGCAGATAGGCGCATACATTATCTTGGGCCCTATGAAGTTGTCGAGATTTATTCGTGTGTATGCAGCAAACGACTCGCATCCTAGCCAGGTCCCCCCTGGTGGCGGCGGAGCGGCGGGGATGACGTGTGGCGTGTGGCTTGGCCAAAGCGCGTTCCTGAAGCTCCCCACGCGGCATCACAGACCCTGACGGTCAGGTTGTATCACGCTTGTTTCTGCTTCGGCTTGCATAGCTTTTGGTCTGGACAGATCATCGAGGAGTAGACATTACACCACGACCCGGATAAACCTGTCCTTATACTGTAGCCTGGAGACCTTTGCGACCCCGTGAGGCCCCCATTGCTGCTGCCTCCCAACGTCTTCACGAATACGTGGCATCCACCTTCTCTCACTTTATATACCCGACTTCGATAGCGACATCCTCCCACCACCAAACATGTTCAACCGCGATCGACTTCCAGGCCTTCCTGGTAGCTCCCCTCGGCCACCGCCCCGTAACGACGGTTACGGACGCCCACCCCCGCAACAGCAACCACCACAAGGACCTCCGCGAGGCCAAGACACAAGAATGGCGGGTTACGATGACCGGCCGCAACAACAGCGCATGCCCGCAAGGGGACCACCAGGGGGTGGTGGAGGTGGCGGGCCTCCACGACAACTGCGGCCCATTAAGAGCCCAGGAGGCAACGCCTACGCATTTGGCAACATGTATGTACAATTAGCAGCAATGTCGCCTGCAGGGCTCCTCAAAACCCAAATTTTTACAACTTCGGGATATTGGCTGACAACATGAAGCGTCGCAGTTTCCCCTCAAGACTTCCCACCAAACGCCGACGGCTCCGATATCTACATCATTGTCAACGGCAACTATGCACTTTCCGCACGACCAACGCAAGGATGCAACCCGGGAGAGATCGGTCTCACTGATTTCCAGCGAACATGGGCCGGCATATCGCTTGGTCCCCAGGAGGTTGTAAACGCAGCACCATACGATCACTTCGCGTACAGCGGCGGAAAGTCATACTTGGGCGCAGTGGACGTGGAAGTCGGATTCGCGGGAAGGAAGACTACGGAGACTCCTTACGACCAGGACGAACTCGCTACCGTCTTCAAGAAGAGTTTCGAGAACCAAATCCTTTCGCCAGGCCAGCAGCTTGTGATCGATATCAAGAACATACCACTCAAGTTATCGATACGAACTGTGACGCTAGCGGATTTGTCTATGGAGAAGGATGAGGCCAACGCGCCTGCGATTACCGATCCTCGAGCTCGTGGCATCCTCACAAGACACACTCAGGTCGACTTCTTCAAGGATGCCAAGACAGATATCAAGTTAAAGGCGTCAGCGCGACGAGCAGCGGCAAACTCAATTATCCAGCCAGGCTTCAAGTTTGAAGATATGGGCATTGGTGGTTTGGATGCTGAGTTCGGTGCCATCTTTCGACGAGCTTTCGCCTCCCGTATCTTCCCTCCAGGTATTCGGGAGAGGCTGGGTATCGATCACGTCCGCGGTATGCTTCTGTACGGCCCTCCCGGTACTGGTAAAACTTTGATAGCTCGGCAAATCGGAAAGATGCTGAATGCCAGGGAGCCCAAGGTTATCAACGGTCCGGAGGTGTTGAACAAGTACGTTGGAGCCTCCGAAGAGAACATCCGAAAGATGTTCGCAGACGCAGAGAAAGAACAAAAAGAGAAGGGCGACGAAAGTGGTCTACATATCATCATCTTCGACGAGCTTGACGCAGTGTGCAAGCAGAGAGGTTCTGGCGCGGGTAGTGGTACTGGCGTAGGCGACAGCGTTGTCAACCAGCTGCTATCCAAGCTCGATGGTGTTGATCAGCTACACAACATCCTCCTCATCGGTATGACGAACCGAATGGACATGATCGACGAGGCTCTTCTGCGTCCCGGTCGTCTCGAAGTGCATCTGGAGATCTCACTGCCCGATGAGTCCGGCCGGGCTCAGATTCTCAAGATTCACACAACAAAGATGCGCAAGAACAATGTCCTTGAGCAAGACGTCAGCGTTGAGGAGCTGGCTAAGCTTACCAAAAACTTCTCCGGAGCTGAACTCAACGGTTTGGTCAAAGCCGCCACATCATACGCATTCGGGCGACATATCAAAGACGGCACTACTGTCAAAGCAGACGTAGAAGATATCAAAGTCATGCGACAAGACTTCTTGAGCGCACTCGACGACGTCAAGCCGCTCTTTGGTGTCGCTGAAGAGGAACTCAGTAAGCGATTCCGTCACGGTATCATCCATTACTCGCCCTTCATCAGGGATATACTGGAGGATGGACGTCTATACATCAACCAGGTCAGAAAACCGGAATCGAGTCCGCTCCTCTCGGTTGCGCTCCACGGTCCACCAGGTTCCGGAAAGACAGCACTGGCTGCCAAAATGGCAATAGACTCAGGCTACCCATTCATCAAGCTCATCTCGGCTGAAGATATGATCGGCTATAGTGAGATGCAAAAGGTTCAACAGCTGGATAAGGTTTTCCGAGATGCATACAAGAGTCCGTTGAGCGTCATTGTCATCGACTCGATCGAGCTCTTACTGGACTGGGTGCCGATTGGCCCTAGGTTCAGTAACACCGTTTTGGCTGCCCTGAAGGTCCTGCTTGCCAAGGAGCCACCAAAGGTATGTAGCCTCACTATCCCGCTTCTACTGTGTAATCCATCTAACAACCCTAGGATCGTCGCCTACTCATCTTCGCGACAACGACCGAACGCTCGGTACTCACACAGCTCGATCTCTTCGCCCGATTCGACGCCGAGATCGCCGTCCCGAACGTCAACACACAATCCGAGCTGGCAGCCGTCCTGCGGGAATCCGGTGCCTTCTCCGATTCCGACCAACAGCGCGCCATCAGTGAGATCCAGGAGATGACAGGTAACACCGAAATTGGGGTTGGCATCAAGAAGATCCTCACCGGTATCGAGACGGCGAAACAGGACCAGGATGTACCCGGCCGCTTCGCTCGCGTCATGTCTCGTGCTATCGCTGCGAACCGGGGGTCAATATAGACCAGGATTGAAGTTTGACGAACTACTCGTGAACTTGTTTGAGATATGTCAGATCGAGTATCTTTAGATCTCCGCCACGACCACCATTGTCATGGCTTATGTAGATGCATGAAGCAAACCCAATAGAGATGATATACTATATCACAGTCACAGTTCTATCCCCTTTCATGCCTCAATGTACTCGCGCTTTCTTACACCTAACGTTCAAACGATAACAGCCTCACTTCTACCCCAGTCCCTCTCCAAATA